TCTGTGCAGAGTAATTTGCTGTCTATGTATCTTGGGGCTGGTTAGTAAAGTATAGCTTGTTAAGATAACTAAACAGGACTGTGCGGGGAAACCTAAGACATTTGGCACTATGTAGAAACTCATTACTTTAGACAGCTGTGGAGAAAATTGAAAAATGCCCTTTATGGGCGTTTAAACAGACAGTGGAGTGGTGGCCACCCATTAACTATACCGATGGACAAATACCGGGGACATGTAGCTGGCAATACCCTAGATCTTATTTTTTCAAATGCATGTTCAGTCTCCAATCTCTGTAATACTCAATTTCCTCTATCAGACCACCACATCCTATCATTTGTTCTTGAGTGCCCCCACACCTAATATCCTCAACCTAATCTCCCTCATCTCAGGAGGAATTTGAATTCTCTTGGTCTCCAGCAGCTCTCAACTGTAATCCATTCTGAACTAATCCATCCATCCATCTATCCCTACCCTCTCCTGTCCCTCTCTGGCTAGCTCCTCATATAATGCTACCCTCACGCCCTAGATGCTGCAGAACTGTTCCAAGCACGCACCTCAAGGAGGGCGCGCCTCCAACCGTGGCATACTAAGTTAACACACTACCTGCAGAAATGCTCCCATTTAGCTGAACGCTGCTGGAGGAAGGCCCGCACCTTGTCAGACTTCCTCCATTATAAATTAATTTTGCCCTCAATTAGCACAGCCCTCACCCTTGCTAAACAATCCTACTTTTTCTCTCTTGTTAGTTCATGCTCACGCAATTCCAGGCGTCTCTTTCAACTCTCTCTTTCGCCCACCTCAAGCCACCCTTCAAACTGACCTTTCGGCAGATAGCCTTGCATGTTACTTTACCAACAACAGTTAAGGAAAGAATTCTCCCTCCTTTGCTTCTCCCTTTCGCAACCACACATCGACTTTTCCCTCCCTACCCTACAGGTCTTCTCCCCAGCCACAGAACAGGAGGTGGCTTCGCTTCTCCTCTTGTCCCACCACTTGTCCGCTTAATCCAGTACCTTCCCACCTTAACAGATCTCTCTCCCCTTGTCTTGTACCATCCTTAACACACATTCTAAACTGCTCTCTTTGATCTGGTGTTGTCCCTGCTCTCCTTAAGTATGCTACTGTCGTACCCATCCTAAAAAAGCCATCCCTAGACCCAGCTTCCCCTTCCAACTATCGTCCCATATCCCTGCTTCCTTTTTCCTCAAAACTTCTAGAAATTCCAACACCCCCCTCGATCCTCTTCAATCTGGCTTTCTCCACCTCCACTCTACTGAGACTGCTCTTATCAAAGTTACTAACGACCTTATCGCAGCTAAATCCAAAGGCCACTACTCCATACTAATTCTTCTTGACCTCTCTGCTGCCTTTGGCACTGTTGATCATGGCCTCCTTCTCCTAACTCTTCAATCTCTTGGTCTCTATGACACAGCCCTCTCATGGTTCTCCTTCTATCCCTTCCAACACTCCTTCAGTGTATCTTTTTCCAACAACAGTTCCTCTCCTCATCCTGTCTCAGTCGGAGTCCCTCAAGGTTCAGTTCTTGGTCCCCTTTTGTTCTCTCTCTATATTGCCTCTCTTGACAAACTCAATTAAAAGTATTTAGAAAATTGGGCAGACTAGATGGGTCGAATGGTTCTTATCTGCCGTCACCTTCTATGTTTCTATGCTGCTCGCACTCTTACTGCAAATTCACGCCTGCAAAACTTCTCACGGGCGGCTCCATTCCTTTGGAACAGCCTGACTACCCCTGTCAGACTCTCCCCTAGTCTTCAATCCTTTAAGAAGTCCCTCAAAACCCATCTTTTTAGGATTGCTTATGGCCTCCGAGTAACTTCTATCTCTCAAACCTTCCTCTGGCTCTCTCCTATAGGGCCACACTCCACTCTCACCTCCAGTTCTGCTACTTTCCCACCATGTCTATTAGCTGTCTCTCTCAATACCCTTCCTAATGTGTTTTTATACTCCACCTCCTCTAGACTGTAAGCTCATTTGAGCAGGGTCCTCAACTACCTATTGTCCCTGTTACATTTTGTTATTGTCTCATTTGGTAATTCCCCTTTTATTGTAAAGCGCTGCGGAATAAGCTGGCGCTATATAAATACCAATAATAATAATAATAATAGACTTATCGCCTGGTTACCCTTACATCAGTCTCCTGGGGACAAAGACGAAGACAGGGTATATCTACTAAACCATGTGTGAATTTCAGTTGTGTCTACAGTGTTATGTTTGAAACTGTAGATGTTTACGGACTACATTCTTCGTGAAGAACAACCAAAAGTATATCAACAGATACTTAACTGTACAGTTTGGGCCCTATCCCCTGCGGTGTGTAATTACACCACCAGGCCCACCCCCCCCTCCCTGTTTACTGACTAATGAAGAAGATAAGGCTTTATCCCCTCTTGTGACATTACAATTAACTCAAACAATGAGGAGATGTCTAATTAAAGGCAGTATTTCAAGCACTAAACTGAAGGTTTTCAGACATTGTTCATTGCTGGACTCTCTAAGAGATCTATAAAGGTTTCCGAAAATTCCGTAAATGTGAAAGGATACGCCACCAAGTATATGGACTCTAAAATTCGATGTTTCGTGAATTATCCCCAAAGGAGTAATAAGTCCGAGTTAAACAGAAAGGATACACTTATCTTGATTTTACGTATGAGCTGCGGTGCAGTTGGTTTTATTTCCAAGTTCGATATTACTCTTTATATTGACCTCAGGACGAACCTACAAATTAAAATGCTAGGTACAAACCTGCAACAATGAGCATTTACTTAATAAACTGTAATAACTGAAATACAAATGGAAAGATTTGGGCTAAAATAAGCAACTCGGAAATGTTCCTATCTTGGTTGGAGTCACAGTGCGGCTATTTTAGTCTAAATGTTGCTGTTTGGATTTCGATACGCTGTGACTTTAGATTGTAAGCTCATGGGCTATCTAACTAAGCACTTTGTATAAAAGAGCTCAATGTCTAGCTCTCGGCTCCCGGGCAGGGCCCTCTTTACCTATTTACCTCGTATTGGTCTGTTTAAATTGTACCTTTTCCCTTAATTGCACAGCGCAGCGGAATATGTTGGCGCTTTATAAACGCCAGTGATGATAATAATAGTGAATAAATCTCAACACTAACTACTGAGCTATCTCAGGATCATGCAAGGGAAGGAGAACTTTATCTACCTTATTAGATCTCTTTTTCTCAAACATGTCTGCCTTGTGGAATATATTTCCATATATAAAATACAGTTTCGACTCAGCAGTAACCCTAACAAGTAGGCTTTTTCGCGCCTTATTTACATTTACTTTAATGGATCCTTAAAAAATGCCTCGTGCAGGGCTCTACTGGTTAAAGTGCGCAGGATCTATTTTTAACAATTATCTCCTTGTAAAATAGCAAATTACGTGAGCCCTAAGTTAATAGAAAATCAATACAGGATTCTCATAAAAAGAGAATCATCATGTGTTCAGCAAGATAATAAACAGCCCATTGCGCACGTTATTCTACTTAAAAAGTACTCCAGGCAGCCTTATTGCATTGCTAGGCTTTACCACTGCTATCTACTTCCCTTTTCTGTATCACTACGACAGGGTTATTCAATAAAAACTGAACTGTAGAGAATTTAATTTCAATGTCAAAATGTACGCAAAAAAAAAACCAAAAACAGCTGATGTGGAACAATTCTCCAACTCTGATATATTCATAAAGGGTTGTTCTCTAAACTGAGTATTCAAAGTGAATTTAAAATTGAAGGTCAAGGTAGATGAATTAGAAATATTCTCTGTCAGGTATGTTTTCAGTTTGGCAACTTTGGCCTTAAATTTGAAATTCACTTTGAATTCTCACTTTAGTGAATTGCTATAATTTAAACCTTAGAGATTAAAACCCCACAGTATTTTATAATGTAACTGAAAGGTTGTTCAAGGTATCTACTACACATAATGGTATATGTATTACCCTTCTATATAACAGTTAGCATTTACTGCTCCCACTGGAAGGCTACTCCAGGTATCTACTAGCCTTTCTATATCACTGTTACTGCACCCACTGGAAGGCTATTCCAGGTATCTACTACCCTTTCTATATCACTGTTACTGCTCCCACTGGAAGGCTATTCCAGGTATCTACTACCCTTTCTATATCACTGTTACTGCTCCCACTGGAAGGCTATTCCAGGTATCTACTACCCTTTCTATATCACTGTTACTGCTCCCACTGGAAGGCTATTCCAGGTATCTACTACCCTTTCTATATCACTGTTACTGCTCCCACTGGAAGGCTATTCCAGATATCTACTGCCATTTCTATATCACTGTTACTGCTCCCACTGGAAGGCTATTCCAGGTATCTACTACCCTTTCTATATCACTGTTACTGCTTCCACTAGAAGGCTATTCCAGGTATCTACTACCCTTTCTATATCACTGTTACTTCTTCCACTGGAAGGCTATTCCAGGTATCTACTACCCTTTCTATATCATTGTTACTGCTCCCACTGGAAGGCTAGTCCGTGTATCTACTACCCTTTCTATATCACTGTTAGTCTTTACTGCTTCCACTGGAAGGCTATTCCAGGTATCTACTAGCTTTCCTATATCACTGTTACTGCTCCCACTGGAAGGCTATTCCAGGTATCTACTACCCTTTCTATATCACTGTTACTGCTCCCAGTCGAAGGAAATCCCAGGTATCTACCACCCTTTCTATATCACTGTTACTGCTCCCACTGGAAGGCTACTCAGGGTATCTACTGCCCTTTCTATATCACTGTTACTGCTCCCAGTGGGAGGCTATTCCAGATATCTACTACCCTTTCTATATCACTGTTACTGCTTCCAATGGAAGGCTATTCCAGTTATCTACTACCCTTTCTATATCATTGTTACTGCTCCCACTGGAAGGCTATTCCAGGTAACTACTACCCTTTCTATATCACTGTCACTACTTCCACTGGAACGCTATTCCAGGTATCTACAAACCATTCTATATCACTGTTACCGCTCCCACTGGAAGGCTATTCCAGGTATCTACTACCCTTTCTATATCACTGTTACCGCTCCCACTGGAAGGCTATTCCAGGTATCTACTACCCTTTCTATATCACTGTTACCACTCCCACTGGAAGGCTATTCCAGGTATCTACTACCCTTTCTATATCACTGTTACTGCTCCCACTGGAAGGCTATTCCAGGTATGTACTACCCTTTCTATATCACTGTTACTGCTTCCACTGGAAGGCTATTCCAGCTATCTACTACCCTTTCTATATCCCTGCTAATGCTCCCACTGGAAGGCTATCCCAGGTATGTACTACCCTTTCTATATCACTGTTACTGCTCCCACTGGAAGGCTATCCCAGGTATCTACTACCCTTTCTATATCACTGTTACTGCTCCCACTGGAAGGCTACTCCATGTATCACTGTTACTGCTTCCACTGGAAGGCTATTCCAGATATCTACTACCCTTTCTATATCATGGTTATCCTTTACTGCTTCCACTGGAAGGCTATTCCATGTATCTACTACCCTTTCTATGTCACTGTTACTGCTCCCACTGGAAGGCTATTCCAGGTATCTACTACCCTTTCTATATCACTGTTACTGCTCCCATTGGAAGGCTATTCCATGTATCTACCACTCTTTTTATATTACTACAAGGCTATTAAAGTATCTATACTTCTTTCTGTGAAATATCGTGCTCTCTTGTTCTATTAGTGATTTAGTAAATATCCCCATCCCCTTAAAGAACAACTGTCACCTCAACATTATCTTTTAATATAATAACCCGTTCATGAAAACTCATCCCTGCCTTTAGCCTATGACGGGATAGTTCCGCCATATACGTACACCTCGGGTCAGACAGTGTTTGGGAAGGGACAGTTAGTCTCTATGATCTTTCCTGTCTCTGTGGAGGGAGTGAAGCAGGGAAGACCATAGAGACTATAGAGGTTTCCAATCACTGTCCGACCCAAGGTGTATGTCTATGGCCAACTATCCTGTCATAGACTAAAGATAGGGATGGGATTTTTATCATTTTTTAATATATACTACATTTAACACAGAATCTATTTCCTTTCAAAACTTGATAAAAGGACCATTATAATAAAATAATTGCCCGATGCTGGATTCAGGGTATATAAAACTGTTAATTTGCCAATTTTATAGCTATTTGTGGGGGGGGCCTTCCTCATAGCGCCCAGTACGGCATATTACGCCAGAAACGTCCCCCTTCTCAAAAGGGTTTTAGTAACCCTTTAACTCTAATTAAAATTGATCTGTCACCTGAAAATTTGTTTTTTCTCATAAATCAGTTTAAAAACAAAACAAAAAATGATGTTTTCATATAAGCAATCTGTAGTATGTTTATCTGGAATCCCTGCCTGAAGATCTGTCCTTGTTTCATCGTGGAGGCGGCCATCTTGGAATTGCACAATTTTCAAAATGTTAGCTATAGCTACTGAATATAAACCAAGGCCTCAGAGCGCATGTGATGTCAGCAGCCAATCAGAGTCAGGATTTGCTGCGGGTACTCAAGCTTTTCAATTCGCAGATTTTAGGGAATGGTTCTCAGAGTCACAACATGCCCAGCTCTGTGCCCACCATGCCCAACTCTGTGCCCAACATGCCCAGAAATATGCTCATCATGCCCAACTCTGTGTCCAACATGTCCAACTCTGTGCCCAAAATGCCCAGAAATGTGGACATCATGCCCAACTCTGTGCTCAACATGCCCAGCTCTGTGCTCAACATGCTCAGAAATGTGCCCATCATGCCCAACTCTGTGCCCAACATGCCCTAAAATGTGCCCATCATGCCCAACTCTGTGACCAACATGCCCAGAAATGTGCCCATCAGGCCCAACTCTGTGACCAGCATGCCCAACTCTGTGCCCACCATGCCCAACTATATGCCCACCATGACCAGCTCTGTGTTCAACATGCCCAGGAATGTGCCCACCATGCCCAACTCTGTGCCCACCATGCCCAGCTCTGTGTTCAACATGCCCAGAAATGTGCCCAACATGCCCAACTCTGTGCCCATCATGCCCAACTCTGTGCCCATATCCAAAATGTACCCATCATGCCCAACTCTGTGCCCAACATGCCCAACTCTGTGCTCATCGTGCCCAAGGCTGAAAGGAAACCTTTTTTTTTTAATTGTTGAATAGATTGAAAAGTGAACACAAGTTACAGAGAGTGTTTAAAATGTTATGTAAATGTACATAGACCACAGCCATTCTAATCCTATAATTTAGAATATGTAAATGATGTCTCCTCTCTCCATCATGGTGGTACAAAGAATATTTATGTACTGTCCTTCTGGATTCTTTTTAGTCATGTGCCAAAAATGTCTCTCTGGGCACCCAAATTCTGGCTCCTTTGCTGCTGCCCAGAAATAATCTTTACAAATCTATCCAAATTTGGACGATGCTGACAGTCTGTAGGTATCGTGTTTAATTTAGCTCAGCGCGCTTAATTTAGCATTACTATGAGAGTTTGGACAAAAAAATTAAAACGCGTAAAGGAAAGGCTTTGCTTTCTGGGAAATCTCTGACTCTTTTCAAACTGATCAAATACATTTTGGCAAAAAAAAAAAAAGACTGCACTCAATCACCCCTTGTTTCCTAATAATTATAATATGCTGTTTATTGGGATTGGTGTGTATGTTTAAAGTATTGACATCTTTCCTGGTATGTTTTGGTAAAGGTACACTACGAGCCCCGTAACCACTATAGTTCTCTGTAGTGGTTATTGTGTCAAGACTGCCCTGAGAACCCACCATTGTAAGTAGTCAAACAGTTTTTGAATGGTTTGTCTTCTTACTTGGGTTCCCTGCCTCCGCTACTAATACTGTATCGCTGGACGTTTCTGGGCAGCCAATGAACAAGCTCATCTTAAAAACTTCCGGCTCTTTCGCATTAGTATTGGAGCACAGAGGGGCGTCTTGCAGAACCCTAACGTGTCCTTTACACCATCTCCTATAGAATGTAAGCAGGGTCCTCTTCAACCTATCGTTCCTGTAAGTTTTCTTGTAATTGTCCTATTTATAGTTAAATCTCCCCTTTCATAATATTGTAAATAAGGAATCTGTTGGTGCTATATAAATGGCAATAATAATAATAATAATAACCCAGAATTCAAAACGGTTTGACTACTTAAAAAGGGGCAGAGGGGCGCCATGGCGAGCTGTAGTGGTTATGGTACTTTGAATGTTCCTTTAACAAACATGACTTTGTGACGTGTGAAAAGTCCAATAAGATATAAAGTTTCACACTGATGTATTAAGTGTGCAATTTACATTGAAATGCATTTTTCACACCTCACAAACCCATGTTTGTTAATCGAATACTGCAAGAACCCTATGTCTTGTTCTACCTGTTAAAAATAAAAATGGGGCCATCACTATGGAAACCAATGGAATAACCAGGGATATATCTCATTGATGATTATTCTTGCACGTTTCTTACATGTTTGCATCACTTTTTGAGAAAGCCATTTGGGGTTGTTGTCTTTTGGTATCAGGATCCTTTCTCATAACATTGTGTGTGCATTGTGTGTGCATTGTGTGGGCACTGTGTGTGCATTGTGTGGGCATTGTGTGTGCATTGTGTGGGCACTGTGTGTGCATTGTGTGGGCACTGTGCGTGCCTTGTGTGGGCATTGTGTGTGCTTTGTGTGTGCACTGTGTGGGCACTGTGTGTGCATTGTGTGGGCACTGTGTGTGCATTGTGTGTGCATTGTGTGGGCACTGTGTGTGCCTTGTGTGGGCATTGTGTGTGCTTTGTGTGTGCACTGTGTGGGCACTGTGTGTGCATTGTGTGGGCACTGTGTGTGCATTGTGTGTGCATTGTGTGCGTACCGTGTGTGCACTTCGTGTGACATTGTGTGGGGCACCGTGTGTGCAGTGTGGGTATTGTGTGGCACTGTATGCGCATTGTGTGTGCATTGTGTGTGGGCGCACTATGTGTGTATTGTGTGTGCACTTCTGTGTGTGCATTGTGTGGGCACCGTGTGTGTGCATTGTGTGGGCATTACTGTGTGGGCACTGTGTGTGCATTGTGTGTGCATTGTGTGGGCATTGTGTGTGCACTGTGTGGGAATTGTGTGTGCATTGTGTGTGCACTGTGTGTGCACTGTGTGGGCATTGTGTGTGCACTGTGTGAGTGCATTGTGTGGGCACTGTGTGTGCATTGTGTGTGCACTGTGTGGGCACTGTGTGTGCATTGTGTGTGCACTGTGTGTGCACTGTGTGGGCACTGTGTGTGCATTGTGTGGGCACTGTGTGTGTGCATTGTGAGTGCATTGTGTGGGCACTGTGTGTGCATTGTGTGTGCATTGTGAGTGCATTGTGTGTGCATTGTGTGGGCACTGTGTGTACATTGCTCCTGGTGTGTAATCCTGTTTGTCTTGTCTTTGTATTTTGTTATTATGCACTCTGTATTCTGTGTTATAAATTGTAATTAGCTCTGTTTTTTTTTTTTTTTTGTATTATTATTATTATTATTATTATTAAATAAAGTCTCTGTGTATCCAGGATGGATATGACTATAAGGTCTCTGTATATCCAGGATGGATATGGCTATAAAGTCTCTGTATATCCAGGATGGATATGGCTATAAAGTCTCTGTATATCCAGGATGGATATGGCTATAAAGTCTCTGTGTATCCAGGATGGCTATGGCTATAAAGTCTCTGTGTATCCAGGATGGATATGGCTATAAAGTCTCTGTATATCCAGGATGGATATGGCTATAAAGTCTCTGTGTATCCAGGATGGATATGGCTATAAAGTCTCTGTATATCCAAGATGGATATGGCTATAAAGTCTCTGTGTATCCAGGATGGATATGGCTATAAAGTCTCTGTGTATCCAGGATGGATATGGCTATAAAGTCTCTGTGTATCCAGGATGGATATGGCTATAAAGTCTCTGTATATCCAGGATGGATATGGCTATAAAGTCTCTGTGTATCCAGGATGGATATGGCTATAAAGTCTCTGTGTATCCAGGATGGATATGGCTATAAAGTCTCTGTATATCCAGGATGGATATGGCTATAAAGTCTCTGTATATCCAGGATGGATATGACTATAAAGTCTCTGTATATCCAGGATGGATATGGCTATAAAGTCTCTGTGTATCCAGGATGGATATGGCTATAAAGTCTCTGTATATCCAGGATGGATGTGACTATAAAGTCTCTGTATATCCAGGATGGATCTGACTATAAAGTCTCTGTGTATCCAGGATGGATATGGCTATAAAGTCTCTGTATATCCAGGATGGATATGACTATAAAGTCTCTGTATATCCAGGATGGCTATGACTATAAAGTCTCTGTATATCCAGGATGGATATGGCTATAAAGTCTCTGTATATCCAGGATGGATATGACTATACAGTCTCTGTATATCCAGGATGGATATGGCTATAAAGTCTCTGTGTATCCAGGATGGATATGGCTATAAAGTCTCTGTATATCCAGGATGGATATGGCTATAAAGTCTCTGTGTATCCAGGATGGATATGGCTATAAAGTCTCTGTATATCCAGGATGGATATGGCTATAAAGTCTCTGTATATCCAGGATGGATATGGCTATAAAGTCTCTGTATATCCAGGATGGATATGGCTATAAAGTCTCTGTGTATCCAGGATGGATATGGCTATAAAGTCTCTGTATATCCAGGATGGATGTGACTATAAAGTCTCTGTATATCCAGGATGGATCTGACTATAAAGTCTCTGTGTATCCAGGATGGATAT